GGAGGCTCTGGGGATGGAAAAGGCCTGGGTGCGCCCCCTTCCGTTCCCCATCCCCCGGAAAGACAGGCACACAGGCTAGGCGGGGTGCCCCATGCCAGGCCAGAGACCCTGCAGGCCCCCTGGGCACCTCCACTGGCTTCAGCTCAGAGCTGCAGACGTCCCCTGCCGAAGGACCAAGGCCCCTTGACCCTGCCTGCCTGTTGGAGCCTGGCGGGTTGTGGGTAACGGAGCAGAAAGCCCCTGGGTGGCCCAAGGTGTGGTCAGCACCGTGGGACCTGGGAACCCAGGCCGGTATAGCTGTGAGGAGAGAAAGGCCCCCGTTTGGGGTGGGGCTGGAGGGGGCAGCACCGGACAGGAAACTGTGCAGGCGGGTGCCCGGGAGGCTCGCCTGGGGAACCCTGAGGGGCTGCTCTGTTTCCGATGCCCCTGGCTGGGGCTGCCCTAGGGCAAATGCCTGGAGGAGGTTGAGTCTGGGGGATGGGGAGACCCTCGCAGTTGCCCCAGACGGGAGGGTGCTTCCTAGCTGACGGGCCTGGGAGGGGAGCGAGCAGTGCCCTGGGGGGGGGGGGCAGGACCCGGAGAGACGGAGATGGGAGGGTGCTACTCCGGTGAGGTGCCCACCAAGGTCCCCCGTCGCCACCCAGGCAATCAGACTCCGCAAAGGACGCGGCGTGAAATCACTGATGTTTACTGGCTGTGATTCCATTCAAGAGAACACACGCGAGGGCCCCCGTCATGCAGGAGGAGGCGCGGGAGCGAGGACAGACGGACGGACAGACAACATTCACGGTCTACACTAGGCTCGGCTGCCCCGGGCGCCCCATGCGCTGGGAACGGGATGCGGAGTTTCTACGAGGAAACGCCCTGTCTGCTTGGAGCTGGCTTTTTGTTACTGTGAAAACAGGCATTTAAAAAAGACCGGGACCGAGAGGAGTCAGATAGGACGCCGGACGAGCAGAACGGACGCAGAACGGGGCGCGCACACACGGGGTGCTGGCGGGACGGGAGCAAGGCGCGCGCGCACAGGGCAGAGCTGGCGGACGGACTGGGGAGCCGGGGGCTGCTCTGGTCCGTAGTTAGTATTGCAGTCTAATTGTTATGGCTTCTCTAAAGAGCTATGTAAGGTCATGAAGGTCAAGGTCAATGTCAAGCCAAGCCCCTGCCTGCAACACGTGGAGACTGTGAACCGATCTTTTACATGGACAGAAAGGGCCTCAAGGAGAGGAAGGCCTGGCCTTCTGTCCAGATAAAAATCCTCAGACACAGAAGACCTCATTTACCTGAGATTCAACATACTGTGATGGAAATTAAACAAGGGGCGGGAGGGCCCAGGGGCTGGGAGGCTCTGGGAATGGGGAAGAGAGGAAGGGATACCCACCCTGGGTGGAGGGCGACCCTGCTGTGCCCAAAACACTCCCATAGACCCCTAGCCCTGAGGCCACACCACAGCCAGCCCTGCCCGTGGGCCCAGGGCACCGACTGGCAGGGTGATTTTGTCGTCCGCCCCCGCCCCTGTGCATAGACCTTCAAACTCACTGCACCTGGGGTTCCAGTTGACCGAGTGGGTGTTCCCAGGATGAGGACAGGGGTCCTGGGTCCAGAGAGGGGGCCACAGCCAGCTCCCACAGGATGGGAGATGCCAGCCAAGGGAGGGAAGTGGGCTGGGCTCTGGGGGTCCACTCCAGGCTGGGCCAGTGTTCTCCACCGAAAGGACAGAGGGCGGAGAGTATGAACTGTAGGAGGGTGTGTGTATGTGAGAGATTCCATGTGAGAGAGAGAGGGGTACTTTGTGTGAGTGTGTGTGTGAGAGAGGGGAACTGTGTGAGTGTGTGTGAGAGAAAGAGAGACAGAGAGAGAGAGACTCCATGTGTGTGTGGGGCCTTCCTGTGTGAGAGAAAGGAGTCTGTGTATGTTCCGTACTTGAATTATGTGTTGAGAGACTGTGTATGTATGTGGGTGACTCTATGTGTGAGAACCCCATGTGTATGAGTCCATGTGCGTGTGAGAGGGACTCCGTGTGTGTGCACATGCACGTGTGTGCATGCCACACTTGGGTGTGTGAGAATTTCCCCCCAAACCTACTGATTTGTTTGGGGGGAGCGCAAGGCCACAGCATTCCTAAGAAGCAAAGCCTTCTGAGGAGGAGGAGGGAGGAAGAGAGGGAGGACAGAGACAGGCGGACAGACAGTGTGAGTGGGGTGCAGATGAGGAGGTGATGGGCTGGCCTCAGTGACAGAGGCAGACACAGTCTGGCCAACGGGAGTCAGTGTTGGTGGTGGGAGGAGGGGCTGGGGTCCAGGCCAACTGGGAGAGGAAAGAGCTGCACAAACCTGGCCCAGAGTGGGGTCCCCAGCACGAGCTGCTCCCCTCTGCCAGCCAACAACCACCCCCGCCCCTATGGCTGTGCTCCTGAGTTTGGGCCTGGACCAGTGCCCACCAACGCAGGGACAGTGCACTGACGGCGGTCGAAGGGCCAGCCCTTTCCTTGGGCCCTGCTGGGTGGGTGGTGAAGGGCCGAGCGGGAGGGACGTCCTGGCTCTGGGGGAGAGTCTGGGCCCCCTCGGCCAGAGGAGCGGGTAGGCTCATCCTGGGCCTGGGGGTCAGGTGTCCCTTACCCAGAGAGGACATCAATGGCAGTGGCTGGAGGGGAGGGGACGGAGGCTCCCAAGGTGTGAGGGGGCAGGGCGGACAGACCTAGGACTATGGCTTATATTGGCGTTGGGGGGCTGCACTCTGCTCCCGACATCCCTTCAGGGGCCTCCGCAGAGGGGTATGTACAGGGCTGGGGGCGGCGAGCAGGGCAGTGGGGGTGCTGGGGGCTCCGGTTCGGGCCGGTGGCTGTCCACACCCGGGGTGTTACTTCTTGAACATGTCCTGGAGCGGCCCCGGCAGGTACTTGATGACGGTGTCCAGGATGCTCTCATCTTCCTCTTCCGGCTCGTCCCCGCAGCCCGGCGGGATGGCCTTCTTGGGCCTGGTCAGGCTGCCCTCCGAGTCGGCCTCCATGGCGGCCCGAGCCTCGGCCTCCCGCTCCTCCTTCTTCTTGATGCCGTACTGTGGGGGGGAGAGGGCAGGGTCAGGCGGGGTGGGGGGCCTGGGGAGCCGAGCGCACCCCGGAAAGGGTGGGACCCCAGCATCCCAGAACCTGTTTCCCAGCCTTGGCTCCCCCTGCTGGGGAGGGCTTGGTGTGGGTCCCTGGACTTGGAGGACCGCCCAAGGAGGCACGGAGCAGCTGGGAGAAGAGCCCAGTGGTTCCATGGCTGGCCCAGCCCACCCAGCCCAGCCCGACTCCCAGCTGGTGCCAGGACGGTGGTGTGCCCGCCCATGGCTACGGCCTCCCAGTCCCTGGCAGGCACACTCCGCACTCAGTTGGCACTGCAGAGCCAAGACATCTGGAAACCCAATCGAGGGTGGCCTTGGCCTAACACATCTTGTTACAAATTGAATTGTGCCAAAGTCCTCACCCCCGGTACCCGTGAACATGTTTGCAAATAGGGCCTTTGAAGATGCTACCAGGTAAGTCAGTATGAGGCCAGACCAGAGCAGGGTGAGTCCTAATCCTACATAGAAACAAAAAGACCCATCACCACCGAGTCTGCTCTGACTCATGGAGACCCCATGCGTAACAGCGCAGAGCTGCCTCACAGGGTTTCCTGGTTGACATCTTTATGGAGACAGATCCCCAAGGCTTTCCGCCATGGTGCCTCTAAGTGTGTTCACCTGCCACGCTTTAGGTTACTAGGTAAATCCAACTGTTGGCACCACCCGCATAATCCTAGGTAAGTCGTGTCCTTATAAAAGAGAAGAGACAGACCCAGAGGGCAGACGGCCATGTGACCACAGTTATGCTGCAAAGGCGTCAAGCGCCTGGGGCTACCAGATGCTGGACAGACAAGAAAGGTCTTTCCCGAGAGCCCCACGGAGGAGCTGGCCTGCTGACGCTGACACTCGGAACTCAGACTCCCAGCCTCCAAGACTGTGAGATGACACGGTTCTGCAATTATAAGTCACTGAGTTTGTAGTTCAGGAAGTCCCTGGGTTACAAATGTCCAACTGACATGCAACTCATAGTTACAAACCAAGCTCCATAAAGCACTGTATTAAAAACGCAAGGTACATACAGCGGTTCATAGTAACAAAAGGGTGCTAGTTTGTGATGCACATCAACACATTCTTCTTATTATGACTGTATTGCATCAAAGATGTTTTAGTGCATCTGGAAGTGTTTCTGTAAAGTTTTTATGCATAGAAAGTTACACTACATACCATATACAAAGACAAGCATTTGAGTTGTTGTTGTTGTTGTTGTTAGCTGCCGTCGAGTCCTCTCCGACTCACAGCGACCCCATGCACAGCAGAACGAAACACCACCTGGTCCCGCACCAGCTCCATGATCCTTGCTATACTTGAGCCCATCGTCACAGCTACTGTCAATCTATCTCATTGAGGGCCTTCCCCTCTTTTGTTGACCCTCCATCTTACCAAGCATGATATCCTTCTCCATGGAATGGTCCCTTCTGACAACATGACCAAAGTAGGTGAGATGAAGTCTGGCCATTCTCGCCTCCAAGGAGCATTCTGGCTACACTTCTTCCAGGACAGATTTGTTAGTTCTTTTAGCAGTTCACGGTACTTTCAGCATTCTCCGCCAGCACCACAACTCAAAAGCATCAATTCTTCTTTGGTCTTCCTTATTCATTGTCTAGCTCTCACATGCATATGAGGCAATTGAAAATACCATGGCTTGTGTCAGGTACACTTTAGTCCTCAAGGAGACATCTTTGCTCTTCAGCACTTGAAAGAGGTCCTTTGCAACAGATTTTCCCAGTGCTGTACGTCGTCTGATATCCTGACTGCTGCTTCATTGGTGTCGATTGTAGAACCAAGCAATGGGAAGTCTTTGACAACTTCAATCTTTGCTCCATTTATCATGATGCTCCTTATAGGTCCCATTGTGAGGATTTTTATTTTCTTCATGCTGAGGTGTGATCCATACTGCAGACTGTAGTCTTCAATCTTCATCAGTAAGAACTTCAAGCCATCCTCACTTTCAGGGAGCCAAGTTGTGTCATCAGCATATCATAGGCTGTTAATGAGTCTTCCTCCAATCCGGATGCCACATTCTTCTTCATATCGTCCAGCTTCTCGGATTATTTGCTCACTATATAGATTGAATAAGTATGGGGAAAGGATACAACCCTGACACACTCCCTTCTTGATTTTAAATCACACAGTGTTCCCATGTTCTGTTCAAACGACAGCCTCCTGGTCAAGGTACACGTTCCTCATGAGTACAATTAAGTGTTCTGGATTTCCCATTCTTCTTAATGTTACCCAAAGAGGTGGACACACACGTGACACCACCGAGCACCCCCCTCCCACTTCGTGCACCCTCATACTTCTCCATTCTCCTGTCTCCTGGGCGTGTCTCTGCCTTAAGCCCTTATCTAGTGTTCCCTTCTTTAGTAGGGTGAATAGTGTGCCCCCATATTCATGTTCACCAATGGAAGCAGCAGTCAAGACATCAGATGACATATTGCACTGGGCAAATCTGCTGCAAAAGACCTCCTTAAAGTGCTGAAGAGCAAAGATGCCTCCTTGAGGACTCAGGTGCACCTAGCTAACCCAAGTCACAGTATTTTCAATCACTCCTATGCAGGTGGGAGCTGGACAATGAATAAGGAAGACAGAAGAGTTGATGTTTTGAGTTGTGGTGCTGGCAAAGAATGCTGAGAGTACCAAGGACTGCTAAAAGGACTAACAAATCTGTCCTGGAGGAAGGGCAGCCGCAATGCTCCTTGGAAGCGAGAATGGCCATAGTTTGTCTCACCTGCTTTGGTCATGTTGTCAGAAGGGACCATTCTCTGGAGAAGGTCATCATGCTTGGTAAAGTGGAGGGTCAACAAAAAAGGGGAAGGCCCTCAACGAGATGGACTGACACGGTAGCTGCAGCAACGGGCTCAGGTATAATAGGGATCATGAGGCTAGTGCAAGACCGGGCAGTGTTTCATTCTGTTGTACATAAGGTTGCTATGAGCTGGAGCCCACTCGACGGCACCTAATAACAACAGAATATTCATGTTCACCTGGAACCTCAGAATACGGCCTTTGCAAATAGGTCTTTGTAGATAGAGTGAAGAGGAGGTCATGCTGGGGTAGGGTGGCCCCAAATGCAGTGACAGTGTCCTTGTAAGAGGCAGAAAAGGAGACAGCACAGGGAAGATGACCACATGAAGACAGAGGCAGAGGCTGGAGTGATACAAGCCAAGAAACGCTCAGGGTTGCTGGCAGCCAGCAGCGGCAAGGGCCGCCCCCCAGGCCCTGCAGACACCTTGATTGTGGACTCCCAGCCCAAGAGGGAGGAGGCGTGGGGTTTGTCTGTGCTTCCTCAGCAGGAATCTCGGGCAAACCCCAGGCCTGTTCTGCAGCCTCAATGAGCTGGGATGCCTGGAGGGTCCCGACGAGCCCAGGACGCAGTAACAGGGGCCATCGAGCATGTCACCTGCAGGTCACTGTGCAGTAAGGACACAGCACTAGAGGCAGAGGGACCTGCTGAGCCTGGGGGTGGGCCTCTTCCCAAGACCACCTCCCCTCCTGTCAGGGGTCAGCCCCTGGGCCCCGACCAGGGAAGAAATATGTGGACCGGTGTCCTGTGGGGCAGGAGGCAGACGCCGCCAGGAACTAGGTCAGGGAGAACTTCCCTGCAGCCAGGGCCGAGGAGGGGGAGGCTCCTGGAGCCGGGAGGGCCGTCTTTGCCCACGGTGGGCACACGCATAGAGCGTGGGCTGGCTGCTCCAGGCATACACTCAGGGAATACATGGAAGGAACACATATATGTTTGCAGGGACAGTGCACGTAACAGTAGGAACAAGTGCTGGCTTGAACGTATGTGTGCTCAGGAACACACGGTGTTGGAGGGAACTTGTTAATAGCATGTGCAACAGTGGGACACATGCTGGCAGGAAGAGACATGTAACCACGGCAGCACATGGTGCTGGAGGGAACATGTGTGTAACAGAGGAACATGTGTGTGTGGTGATGGTGTGTGACTGAGCAGACAGACCTCCCTGCAGACAGAGGGCCAGGGCCCTCCCTCGGGAAACATTCAGGGAAGAGAACTCCTGACAGGTCACTCTGAACTCAGCCTGAAGTGCCTGTCACTCCACTGAGGTTCAAGGTCATGCTGATGTCATGGCCACCGTGGGCTGTACCTGAGGGTCATGGTTACTGTGCCTGGGGTAGCGGCTCTTGAGCGGGGGTCCACCAGAGGCTCTGAGCCCCAGAGAGAATGCCCCCCAGCCTCTGCCCCGTGGGACAACACTCCAGGGACACTGGCCACTGGCTATGCCCAGCCATCCTCCCCAACCACTAGACATCACTGCCAACCTGAGACAGCAGGGACCCCAACCCCATCCCAGGGGCAGTTGCTGGGAGAGCCCAGGGCAGCCAGCACCCTGGATACCCCAAGAACCTGACATTCCCGAGGGACACCCCAAGTCCTGAAACCACGATGTTCAGAAAAGAAGGGCGTCAGAGCTGGTCAGTGGTGACCATCAAGCCCAACTGTCATCGTCACAAAGCCCTCGGCCCAAGGGATCTTAAGGGGTGTGGGGAGGTCCAGGGGGCCGTGGGTACTCAGGCCAACAGCTCTGGGCCTGGAGGAAGGGACTAGGCCTCATCCCCTCCCCCAATGGGGTGCTGGCTCAGAAGCTGCAGAACATGGGTGGCTGGAAGTACGCAAGCAGGTGGTGCGTGTGCAAATCCAATGGTGCGTATGCAAATGAGGCAGTGCATATGCAAATCGAGCACAGGTGGGTGAAACCTCCCCTCCCCCAGCCTGGACCTGCCCAGATAGCCTTGTGATGGGGTAGGGGAGACGAGAACCACCGCTTCTTCCTTCCTGGCACTGCCCGCCAGCCCCAGCACCCCATCCTCTGGGAAGTCGTTACTGTCCCCCTCTCTTGGATAAGGGTGTCTGCTTCCCTGGGTACACCCAGAAGACCTCGGCCCGGCCCCTGGGCCTTCTGCACAGGAGGCCATAGGCAGTGTGGCCC